TAATTTGGTTTACATATCTAAACTTATTGTAAGCATGGATTTTAGGTTTCAGAATGTCACTGCATCTTGTGGATCCCATACCTACTATTGACAGGTGTTGTGTACTTTGTCAATGACTCGTCTCCATGATTTGCAAGTGGTTGATCATTGCCATGAAAACCATTTTTATGGTTACTCATGCATTAAGTGCATAAGGTTAGATTAAAGTGGTTGTTTGCCTAAAGAAGGGTTACCATATTAATATTTATCCAGTTTTAAATGGATACAATTTCAAATTGTAAATCTATGTTTAAGTAAAGTTGGGAATTTTTGTGATCCTTAGCAAAGTGTGAGTAGTATATTTCAGAGAGTGGCGTTAAACATGAAACAAGCAAGTAAAACAAACAAAACAGCGTCTCCTAAAAAATGGATGATAATGACATAAACAATGGACTCAGGCCTCGATGTACCAGATCTAAATACCAGTTTGTCGCTAAATTCTTTTTAAAATATTAACAGAGTAGAAAGATGCAGGGTTTAACTGTGTATGTGATATATACATGCTATTTCATTAATCTAAAGGTAAATGCATTCCGTAGATGTATGTAGCCTTGAAATATAATGGGGGTTTTCACCATTATGGTAATTCATTTTTACAGAAAATACATTGAAAAAGCTTCAGGTAAACAAACAGGAATAACACATTTGGTAAATATAAATGTGAAGTTTGTGATAAAATTTTCTGCTTTAGTTATTCCTACCAAGAGAAACGACATTTTCACCCTGGCTGTGCCACTCAAGAAACTGACCCCTGTGGTCCCAGGTCGACGTGATGAAGCCATTATTTACACAAGTAATGTCAAAAGTTGGAATTAATACATATTTATACGTAACACTTAAGCTAGTTATTTCACATACATCCATGAGTTACGTAATTTTTCTTACTTTTCTAGACATAATGACTTCAGACTGTGGGTACCTCAAGATTACAGGCGATGTTCCTAGATCAGGATTATTTTTACTCATGTAAAATCATGATATAAACTGCAAAGGTCTCATTTTATATTTATTTAGACTCAGAATACATCTATGTTTCAAGTCTGAAAATTTTCAGTTAACCACGGTTCAACCTAGACTCATGCTTTAGTCTCTGAATACACATAATTGTCATGATTACAAATAAAACCCATTTAAATTGAAATGGAGCCCCAGTGAGATGGGAGACACCTGTAGAAATCTAGACTTGCTTCATTTTGCTCTTTAGCACTGCATGGAGGGCTAGGCAGAAGGGAACATAATGTGGTTCAGGGACTGTGAGACGGACTAGATTGAACCTGATTGTGTCTGGTACAAACCGGATTTTCATGTCATTATTCACTTGGTGGAAGCTAAATCAAGTTCTTTAAATTGAGCCCAGTATCAAGTTGTGTTCTGATTTGCATAAATATGCATAACAGAGCCATTACTACCATCAAAAATAGATGGTGACATTTAAACATTTCATTTCAATCATTTTCACAACATCCACAGTAAATGAGTGAAAAATCAGAGGCATATTTTTTACATATCACTGGTGTGTTCTGAATGCAGTTCCAGGGCTCCAGATAATTTTTCAACATCTGGAGTACGTACTCCTTATTTGTTCAATATAGGAGTACTGGAAAACCTTAAGTGTACATTTAGAGTACTGAATGGAAATTAATGGACTATCAGTAATCTTGCGTTTCGTTTCATATATGCACCACAATATTGCTACTCTTGTGTAAACAGTTCAATAAACAATAAAACAATACTTTTCAGATAAATACTTGTAAATGATTCTAAGACCGTTCACCATTGCTGTGGTGCGTATCTGCTACGTTTTCTAAATTATTTCCTACCGTATCGTGCATACTGTTTATCCGTACATACGCCGATACGGTCCTTATCTGGAGCCCTGCAGTTCCAAATGCATGCAGGGCTCTCTGAATCTGCTAAAACAATAACCTTTTGATGTGTTCCATGTCATATTTTTAAGGAATTGTACCTGAGTGACGGTTTGAGTAAATGTAAGATTGGGGCTATAAATGCCTTCCATAATTTCAATTTGGGAGACTGACAGAGTCTACATTGATGCATGAGTGAAGCCGATTCACTCATGTGTCACTCGTGAAATAGCTGCTCGACTCGATGTATTGCAGGCTTTTGAAATTTTCCATCACTAACACAGATATTACTTGTCTCTCTGAATAAAACATAGATGAAGATTGTCAACGAGACCAAACACATCCTGAAACTGTGTTCCGAGACATTAATAGGTTCTGCGTGAGTTGTTTAGGTATTGCATCAGATTCTCACAAAGAGTGCAGTATCCTGTTTTTTTTAGCCTACATGTAGAATAAAGCGCATACCTGCTCAACTTGAGCTGGTGGGATATCTTGCAATAAAATATTCAACATGTTTAATGTCTAAAATAGGTTATGAATTTTATAATTTCTGAAACTCACACAAACAATTTTGGAACTACTGTTTTAGTGTTTGAAACACTTGACAATGGAACATATCTCAGAGTATCTTAGAAGTTATTAGAACCTGAAACATGTTTTAATTCTTGGAAAACTCACTTCACTTACTAAAATGTCATGACTGAATATTTCTTGAAGATTCTGGGAAGTTTATGTTTATGATATATTGGTCATCACTTTAAAGTAGCAAGTTGCATCATTTTGCATTACATTGGATGTGAAATTTGCAAATAAATATAAAAAAAACAAAACAAAAGAAAACCATGTACAGTGCACTCTGTCTAATTCGGACCAGCTTGGGACCCACTCAAAAGTCCTAATTATACAGTAGTCCAAGTACACAGATTTTAATGGAGTTATCTCCCCTATTATCAGCAGAATTAAAATTATAAACTATTTTTCTAATGTTATTGAAAACAACGATTCTCGACACCTGCTTCGCAGCTGGTCCACAATAACATTGTCAAAGAGCAAAATTCATGAAATAAATTGAATAAACTAATGAATGAAATCAAACAACATTCATAAAAGTTGTCAAACGTACATATAAAATTACTATTTCCATCTGTTTGTGCGATCATGTCATGTAAGTCAAGTCACTGACAAGTGACATCTCTCGCCTCGGCCACGCCAATCTTCACATTTCTGACACGATGTTCAATGCGAAAATATATACATGAAGCATTTTGTCACAGGTCATAGCCTAGCACGATAAGCCTAATATCGCCTCCATCATTTACGTATTGATAGGTAGCAATTCCTTACTTAATATGTTCAGAATAGCATTATTTTACCCAGAACTTTGTCTAAATCTAAAAGTTTTCGCTTACGTAGGGACGCATCCATTGCCGTAATATGATTGGGTGCCTTAGGTCATGTGTCTGATTTTGACCAATCATGACCCGAAATGGCTTAAAAAGCCGCCATTAGAAACCAATCTTTATCAAATAAAATCGCTTTTACAACTGATTGATATCACACTGTGTCCAAGCGGACTTCCTGCTCAGTCCTAATTATATAGCAATGTTTTTACATGTAACTACCTTTATCGGGATTTGACTTTGGTCCTAAACTCCGAAATAATGAGAGTCCGGGATACAGAACTTTTTTATTATGATAACAAAGAAGGATTCCGGCTGACCGTGGAGTTCAGTCCTGTTTATACAGCAATCCGAGAAAGACAGAGTCCGAGTTTGACAGAGTGCACTGTAATCGTTACATCTGCAATAACCTGAATCGGAAAAATCTGACAAATTACGCTAACCAATTTTTATTATTGCTCATTGGTAATGAATCAATTATCAATTGTGAGATTACAACTAATTCCAAACACACGCGGTGTGTGTGTGTGTGTGTGTGTGTGTGTGTGTGTGTGTGTGTGTGTGTGTGTGTGTGTGTGTGTGTGTGTGTGTGTGTGTGTGTGTGAGAGAGAGAGAGAGAGAGAGAGAGAAGTGAGTGGGCATGATGAGTGAGTGAGTTTAAAATACCCCAGTAATACATGGGCTTCACACATTGTAGTCATGTATGGAATCGAAGCCTGGCTATTGGTGTGACACATGCACCCAAATTAACCCACTACCCAAAAATGTTATGGAACAATCAACTGTCTCTGGCATGGCATTAAAGATCACCTACAGCAATATGAAAAATTAGGTGGTGTTTAACTTTAGTTTATTAGTATATAAGTGGAATATTGCCAGGTGCCGCATGAAAACACTTTTAATTCAGGGAATAACTACTTATTCTGTTATGACTTGAATGTCTCACCGAGTTCATTAATATTTGTGTATTGTATTTAACTTCTAGATTTGTTTCCCTGTTTTAGATAAAGGCTAAAGCTGGATAGACATATTTTTAATAATCTGGATACATTTTGCTGGCATAAAATACAGAAAACCAACAGTTGTGGCACAGGACTCTAATTATATCTAATAGTAATTATCAAATAAATCTTAAATTCAATTGTTATACAAATAATTATACTTTATCACAAAAAGGCTGGATTTCTTTTCTATTACAATGTGTTTATTATCTTTTTTGAGAAAAAAGTTATTGCTACCATTTTTATAATATTATGAGATGTGAACAGGATTTGACCACGCCCCCTCCCTGTCTGTCAAACCATAACCCAGGGTCACGCTCAACTCTGAGGTCACGAGTTGACCTGATTCCACATATTGCGATTTTCATAACTGGCACTTAATCTACATCAGTTTGTATACTGAGAAATATTCCGAAATATGAAGTACATGTTATATGACATTTATGTATTGCCCATGTCAGATAACGGAGTTGGAACTTCGGAATCAGGTCAAGCCGGCCGACTAGCTTCATATCATCGAATGATCTCGAATAGGGACGCCTCATTCACTGAAATAGATTATATGATGTCTTTCTGTTATAACCCAAACATCATCGAATGTATTTGTTAATTAAATAATGAATAATAACTGTAAAAGTTAATATCAACAGAAGAAAATGTTTTGGGAGAATAATGTATTTGAGATAAGCCGTTACCTTGACATCCTCGAGAATGTCTGCGAGTGCTTCGCGTACGTCATCAAAGGGGCACTGGCTCGAAAGACACAGAAGTTCAGGGAGATATTCTGTCACTATGGGCTGAAACCCGTTGATGTCCGTTTCGCCATGTATCTGTTTAGGGCTGCCGTATCCATCCAGCCAAGCATCAAAAGTTTTCCGGATTGAGTCAATGCCCAGCCGACGAGCGGCCGAGTCGCGGTGGCACAAGACATGAAAGAACCGGAGGGATTCTTCATCTCGCAAGCTGGTCAGCGCAACCTCATCTGCCATCCAACCACCAGTGATCCTGAACCCCTTAAACGAAGTCACAGAGTTGTTCTGTCAGTCAGAACCCGACCTTGTGACAGTGAGCGCTGTCCCGGTCTCACAACTTGGTCCTGCTTCGATCAGCTTGATCTTCACTTCAGCCGGCATCCATCCACTGGAAAACGTGACCCGGTCTCACCGCTCCGGTGTCAGCCGATTGAACAGTGCTGCAACCCCCTGTGATTATGAAATCAGTGATATAATGAACAAGTTCTCGGCACTACTGCAACATATATTATTTACTTTTCCGTTAAGTTCGTGCTATTTACACGTTAACATCGCACTTCCTCGGCAGCCAACACACAAAGTCGGTCTCTGCGCACGAACTATCAGTTGACCTCTGACGTAGCGAACACACCTCCAAAATCAGCCAATCAAAGGCGAGGAAAGTGTACCAGCCGCTGCTTCTCGCACAATGAGGGTTTATGTATATTTTACAAAAGCAGTAATGTCGCGTTGATCTTAAATTTGATAATCCTGTAAAACAGACTGAGAATACATTAAACCAGCAAATTTACTTTTTGTTTTACTTTAGAAAAAAAAAAAATCTAAATATTTTTAAACTACAGCCTGTGTTATGCTCAGTGCAATAACACAGTAAATATTGATATGTCACGGATATTTATAAATTCACGAGTGTAGATATGATATATATATGATATCAACAAATGCAGAACATGACATATCATGAAACTGATCCCTGTGTTCCCAGGTCGACGCGATGACGCCATTTTTTTACACAAGAAATGTCAAAAGTTGGAATTAATATATATATTTAGTATATATGATTTCTTCGCTAAATACACAATACAACTGCATGCTCTCTCATTTCGCCAACCCGTGAAGATCCGGGTTAGAACACGATCTTCAGCAACCCATGCTTGTCGTAAGAGGCGACTAACTGGATCGGGTGGTCAGGCTCGCTGACTTGGTAGTAGTATAGGGCCTTTATAGGGTCAAAATCTATTTTTAGCTATGGGCCTTTATAGGGTCAAATCTATTTTTAGAATAGGCCCCTGGTAACAGGCTATTTTTTTAGATGATGAGTCATGTCAACACCTGCTGCTTTCTATTTTTAGAAAAGTCTATATTTAGACCATGACTCATATCAACATCTGGTGTTTCTATTTTTAAACTCGGGTTGGTAATATAAAGTCCCCCCCGAACAGCCCTCCATATCATTCTGACTTCAGTCGGGCTACGTGCGGATCTTATGTTCTTGACTCTACTGATAGCTGTTTACCTCGAAGATGGAAGCCGTTCACCGTGAGAGTTGTGATAACGAGGCCCTGTTAACACTTCCAAATCCCAGATGCCATTTACATTTAGGGGACGACGTCTATGTGACAGCCAAGACATGGAATGGAAAACTAGAAATTCATGTGAGGAAGTACGAAGTATACTGAGTGGCAAGTTACTACCATCCAAACGAGGAGCATCGTGCTTTACCTTGAAACACTGGCTGGAAGTGTCTAGTGTTCGTGCAGCTTCTAAACAGCAGGGAAGTAGTACTCACACGTCCATGTTGGAGGAACATGTACGCTTCCTGGGACGACAATGGTGATGTGCGACAGTGGGAGAATGATCAGAAAAGTGGTAGAGTGATACCTACAAAGCCAATGTATTCCCTGTTGTCCCTAGATCAGTGGGAAAAGCTGGTAGATTGTGTAAAGAGTCATGTCAGACTTTGTGCCGTAGAACTGAAGGACGCATACCCCTGTATGCTTCGGACGATCATCAAAACAAGATGGGATACTTCAGTGTTCCTTTTGCAACCCTAGTGACTACAGCTACTTTGGGTGTAAAAGCCATTCTTGGTTTAGACGCTGTACTGTGCTGACGTGTGTTACCATTGGTCTGGGATATCATGGATGTGTGTGGACATTACCTTATCTGACAAGACTGTCGCTGCCGATTACTGCAGCAATCAAGACTGAATGGACTTCATTCCAGAAAAGACTCGATTCGTTTAAAGACTGGCCAGTGCAGATGCGAAACAGAGTCCCTAGTCAAATGGCTCAGGCAGGATTTGTGTACTTAATCAGAGGGACGCTTGCAAGTGTTTTCAAGTGGTCTCGTTCTCAAGAACTGGGAAGTAGATGATGATCCCTGGGCCGAACACATGAAAAAATGGTCTCCTGATTGTCCGTATTTGGCCCTGGTGGGAAAGTACCTCAGAAAGAGGTGACCCGTTGGGGTAGTCATGTGGATTTGCAACCAAAGAGTGTGATGTAAAATGTGTGACTATTGGAAATAAATCAATGTTAAAGAGTATGTCTGCCTTGGGTTGTCTCATGATGGTATAAATAGAGGTTGACTCAAATACTAATCTCACTGAGAACTCCCAACCGATAAGAGTTTATTTTGCTAGAAATAGTGTATGGCTAGAGTACATGATGTTAAAGTGCCATTTACAATTTTTAAGGTTCATGTTAATGTTTCAAGACATTGAGGAGGATTCGACAAGACATCCTTTAGAAATGAACAGAGAACAGGGTATTATCGCCATCCAATGGTATTATCAATAGGTTATTAAAGGGAAGATTACCAGTGACTCGATATAGAGGGCGTCGTTCTCCTGAGGGAAAACTGATAGAAATAACTATCTAGCGGTGTTACGAAGGAGATTAGTTCACCCCCTGTGGACGACAGACAGTAGAGTGGAAGAGTCTTTTTGCCAGTAACATATGCCAATCGTAGCATTTGTTTTGGAAACCACAGTTTGTCAATGCACTTAGAGATGAGGCCATTCAAAATGCCTGGTTGTTTGACAGAGCATCGGCTTAAATATGTTTGGTACACCCGGGTTTAGTTTCTCATAGTAGTGCATCCGGAAACATCCTGGCAGCGATGTTGGAAAGCTATACCAAGGTCAATGAAGATATCTGTATAACAGGCCACAAGGGCTATCTAACCATGTTTAGCCGTGGACCAGCGACAATAGTGACGCATCACCTCAGACCGCCCCTGTTTCTTTAATCATGAATAATCCACGATACAAACTCTTCGTACCCGATGCCGAAAAAAATGGACACGATTTTACATGCTCAGGGCTGAGGGAAAGGTGGAGACCCCTTATCATTCTATAACACGTGGAGGAGAAAAATCTGCCATGTTGTCTGTCGATCGATATTTGGAACTGTATGATCCAGAGTGGAAGAAAAAGACAAACAAAACCAGAAACCACAGAGCAGCTAAGATTGAATTTCTACTACTCCCTACTCAACAAGTGGTCGAACAAGCCGGTGCCTCTTATTCAGATGCAGCAGAAGGGGGAATCTAAAGTTGGAAGTTCCTCCTAGTTTCCCATGAAGGAAACGGAAGACGACTTTTTAGATAAAGTGCAGTCTAGGACATGGTTCCCTGCCATTTAGACTCCTCGGACCACCATGCAGTCAACAACGTGTCCTGTTATGCTATCACGCCGTTTTCCAGAAGGATGCCATGCTTAGACATCTCAGGAATCAACATGGACAAAGCAATGCAGCCCCCCACAGCCTCCACCACCACCACCACCACCTCCACCACCACACCACCACCTCACCACCTCCACCTCCACCTCCACCCCACCACCACCTCCACCACCATCTCCACCTCCACCTCCACCTCCACCTCCACCTCCACCGTCAGCACTAACACCACCACACCACCTATGATGCCACCAGTGCAAAATCCACATGTGGGTGCTTTGGAAGAATGTAGACTGATTCACCCCTTCACCATGATTGTCTCAGGGCCAACCTCCTAATGGGAAAACCTACTTAGTGAAACAGATCCTAGAAAGGATGAACATTAAAACCCATCACTGAACGTGGCTATATGGCTTCCTACAAACGATGGCAGCCCTTGTATAATGCCATTCAAAACCCAAGGTTTATCCCTATGTGGAATTCCCTCATCAAGGCATTCCTTCTGACCTCGAAAAGGATGCATTTCTAGACCCCCATGTGAAGGTGAACGTGGATTTATCCTCGATGACTTTAATGTCGACAGCTTAAGCAAAGATCCACGCAGACATAGATCTGTTTCACGGGAAGGAAGTCATCATCGTAATCTCTCAGTGATCGCCTTGAACCAGAATTCTGTATTTCCAGTAAGGATCCCACACAACGAAGAAACTGTCATTATTCAAGCTTCCTGTTTTAACAACCCTATCCGATCAACAACCCGCTCCATGACTTCTATGAGGCAAATGTATCCAGAGTAACACAGACCATTCTATGGAGCCGTTTCAGTGGGGCTACCCAGAAGCCTTATGGCTACTTGTTGAGTTGATCTAAAACCCCAAACACCTCCCCATAGGCGTCTTCTTTTGGTCCCAATGCATTCAGTTTAAAAAGGACACCTCCAGCCAGGACAGTTCAGTCCAGAGTTAAGATGTTCAGCGTGAGCAGACGTGAAGAAAACCTCCTCAACCATGCCATCTTGTGATGACTGTGGACTCATGTTTCAAGATGTGCAAGATTTGGTAAAAACACAAGAAGAAAACCGGGTGTCCCGAAAAGTTCTCTCAGTGGGTCCTCCTGGGATACCCTAAGTGAGGGCAAAAAGGCAGTGGGTGGGTATGCACAACTTTCTCACCTGTGAAGAGACTACGTCCTCCTGGTGGATTGTGACTATTGTAGGTCAAAGTGTTTAGCAATCAACCATAACTTACAAAGGCATTTTACATCGATAAACAATGTCCTGAAATGGAAAGGAAATGAGGACGATGATGTTGAATCATTAAGCCGGCTGTCACACACAACAAATAAGGGAAAAGTAAGATGGCTGATCTTGAAGGAAGGCAAGGTATAAGACAAATGGTATTCACGTACGCGTGAGCCGGAATAAAGACTTTTGGATGAGAAACGATGGCTGTGGCACATAAAAGAGGGTTTAAACAGAAGGAACCCATGAGATTCTGCCAAACTGAACAAATTGATGTGTAGCGTTTAAAGAGACGTATGCCCGATTTATTACTGTTTATCTGTAACATATGCGGTATGGTCCAAAGACACAAGGAAATACTGGAAACAGAGTAAAAGACACAAATAATATGTATCATGAAGTGATTTCAAAATTGTACCAATAGA